ATGATTTCGAAATCCATATCTGGTTATGTCGCGCGGGTGGTGGTGTGAATCAGACGAGGGTTGGTGCTGAACTAACTTTATTTACACTATTTACAATACAGGAAAAGTACCCTTCAAGGTCGTTGGACCGGTAGGGTGTAATAACCGTAAAGTGAGACGTACCATCGCCGCCCCCCTTGAGGTCCTAATTGCCTCAAATTTGTATACAAACTATGCAACTAATATGTAATACGAACACAAGTATATCTTAAATATGAGTAACAATATCAATGTGGATTAAAAAACGCTAATAGTAATAATATGATAACAATAACGGAAATAATTTTAATTATGATTACACTTCATTTAATTACTAATATAAATTGATTGTTCCAAACAATTTTTGTTGAACCTCAAAAAAAGTAAAACTTAATTTGTTCGGGCCGCACCTTAAAATAGTCCGCAAACTTATTTTTCAGGACCGCACTTTTACTTGTTAAGTCCGCAGACTTATTTTTCTGGAACGCACCTTCACTTGTTTTTGTCATCGTCCATGGGCACTACGCAAATTTTGCTAATGCCGCGTTTATACAGTCCCTTGTTCGTTTTGACCGTAACTACACGCACAAGACCATCGTTGCCGTGATGCACCTCCTGGATGCGACCAAGTGGCCAATGCAACGGGGAAGGCCGTCTTCAACGAGCAGTACCAGAGCTCCAGGTTGGACCGCCGCTGTCTCAATCTTCCATTTGTTGCGCTGTTGTAGTTGGACAACGTATTCTCGGGACCATCGTTTCCAGAAGTGCTGCCTCATCTTCTCCACCATTTGCCAACGACTCAAGCGATTGAGTCTGACGTCCTCTAGGTTGATCTCTACCGGCGCCGTCAACGCTTCTCCAATTAAAAAGTGGCCCGGAGTTAGAGCTTCGAGGTCGTGGGGATCAGAGGAAAGAGGGGTTAGTGGACGGGAATTGAGGCAAGCCTCTATTCTTGTCGGAAACGTGTGCATTTCTTCGAAGATCAAAATTTGTTCACCAATAACCCTTTTCATGTGAGATTTTACTATTTTAATATTGGCCTCCCAAATGCCACCGAAATTTGGCGTTCTCGACGGAATAAAACACCATTATTAATGTTTTGATTTGCCAAATGGTTAATAATGGTACTCTTACTGATATCATTTTTTAAAATGTCCCTTAACTCTTTTAACTGATTTTTACTACCGACAAAATTTGTAGCATTGTCCGAATGCAACTCTTTTACTTGACCTCTACGAGACATAAAACGCCTAAGTGCGTTCAAGAAACCTTCGGACGTCAAGTCACTTACCAACTCTAGGTGTACTGCCTTGGTACATAGGCAAATGAATAACGCAATATATGCCTTCAAGTAATAAATCTATTTTGCTACTAATATTAAAATGTTCGTCTGCTAAGCGGATGTTGTTAGGAATTTTAAGTGATTCTTTTGGAAACGACACTAACGGTAAATTTCTCGTAATATTTGATGTTACTAAACAATCAATTTCAGTATCATAGCTATAAAATTTCGATTTTATGTGGACCCTTACTAATTCGGTTATTTTGCTGGACAATAAGTTTATCCCAGTAATTTTATGATGTGTTTGTTTGGTGGGCAAACCCAGTTTTGCACAAAGATCCTTGGTAATAAAATTTGATTGAGAACCTCCATCCAAAAAGGCCCTGCATTCATGCAACTTGCCGTTTTTGTCTTGTATTAGTATTATCGCGGTGGATAATAAATTTTCGCAATAAACGGATTGCGAACTGCAGTGGTTTGCTACGACTGGCTCACTAAAGTGGAGTAAAGTGTTATGCTTTAGCTGGCAATATTTACAATTATTACTTTTGCAATGTTCTGCGTTATGTCCAGTTTTTAAACAATTGTTACATACGTGTAATTGATTTACTTGTTCTATTCTTTCAGTCACACTCAGTTTTAAAAATTTTGTACAATTATGCAGTGGATGATTTGTTTTTTTACATAAGGCACAATATAATTTTGAAGTGGACGATGCTGCTGAATTGACACTCGAAACAACCTTAGCGTTGAATGCCTTAAAATTACAATTTTGTTTTGAACGACCCTTTGAAGTGAAATCTGAATTATGACTGCTACGAGGTAGTGATTCTAAATATTGGCAACGTGAATCCAAAAATTCTGTTAATTCCTTAAAGGTTGGTAGTTTATTGGTTACTTTTGATTGCCATTCTTTGATTGTTTGAAAATCTAATTTTTCCGTGATGATAGGTACAAGTATTGCATCCCACTGATCAACCGGAACATTAAATACTTTGAGAGATTCAATATTGTTCGTAATATTATCACATAATGACCTTAATAATTCGGCATTAGGTTTCGGTACCCCCTGCGCGTTCAAAATATTTTTTACATGAGCATGAACTAACAATCTCTCATTTTCGTACCTTTTTTGTAAAATATCCCAAGCCGCGGTATAATTTGCACTCGACACCGCTATGGCATCAATCGCCCGCAAGGCTTCACCCTTTAAGGCGGATCTCAAATAATGCATTTTTTCTACATTGCTTAGCGTTGTATTCTCGTGAATAACTGACTTAAAAGTGTCCTTAAAAGCCAGCCATTCTGAAAACGAGCCACTAAATTCTGCTAATGTTAGTACCGGCAATTTTTGTTTGATCATTAGTGTTAGACGGTGGAGTTACCGTGGAACCATTTTTTTCCGTATTCGCGGTATGCCATTAACACCTCAAAAAAAAATGCACAAACCTCCGCAAACAATAGAGACGGGGTGGAAACAGGATATGAAATGGAAAGATCTGACCTTTTCTGCTGTACTCCTTGTGATCAGCTGTTGACGCCGTTGATATGTGAACCCTTGTAGAAGACTGCTGGTAGTTCAAGAATGGTGATTGACGTGCCTCAGTTGACACGTTCTTAATATGCTGTGGTTCGTGGACCACCTCAGATTCACTGATTACACTGCCCGATATTCCGGCGACTTTTGTAATGATTATTACTATGTTATGTAATGTTGTTCTATTCGACAACTTAATCCGGCTCGAAGGACCAAATGGTTATGTCGCGCGGGTGGTGGTGTGAATCAGACGAGGGTTGGTGCTGAACTAACTTTATTTACACTATTTACAATACAGGAAAAGTACCCTTCAAGGTCTTTGGACCGGTAGGGTGTAATAACCGTAAAGTGAGACGTACCAATATCCACGAAATAGTAATAATAATAGTTTTAATAATTTTCAAGTGTCGGTCTCGTTGAAAATAAAACTATTTGTGTACATTATCAAAAATAATGCACAATTGGAAAGCGAGAAGAGAGTAAGGCAAGGCTGTAGCCTCCTGCACTGTGGACGGGTAGCGGGGATAATTAAATTTCGACCGCACAGCTCTAGTAATTACAAATAAGGGGCTAGCGATTTTCATAGTTCATGTATTTTCAATTTTAACTCTTGAATGGTAGAGTTTTAAACAAAATGTTAATACAGAAAACTTTACGCTAATAATGAGTTCTATTATCGGTTAAATTTTTTACATTGAATTCCATAACAGCCTGCATAAAAATAAGTTCAATGTCTTTTTATAGAATTCTTTCAATATTGTTCGTGTTTAATGTAACGTCAATAATGCATCGATTTCGCAGAAGAGTAGGAAAAAACAGGGTTGTTTGGATTTTTACTCGTTAGCATTCCCTTGTTTAAAAGCAGTGTATTTAGTTTCAAATATGTGTACATAAATTAATTAAATTATGCATAAATATGATTAGCTCATTGCCATTGCCATTGTAAAAACTTGAAAATTTTAAGTTGCATATATTCCGGGATAGATTAATGAAACAATATTTTGTATGTGTGTTGTACAGCACCTTTTCAAGACCGTCAGTCACCACTCATGGCCTTGGACCCAAAAGAGAACATCATGGTGAATAGAATTTTAGTTTCTGAGATTTGCATAGGTATAGAAAGAATTTTGATGAAATTCGTTGTTAGGTATTGGACTCTTCGTGATGAAGCATTGAATGACATGTGACATGGTTCAATTATTTAAAAAACGAATACAAAAATTTGGTTTAAATTGTCCGCAATTAATTTTAGTCCGTTTTCTACTCCAGTCATTAGATGCACCATACACGAGCTTGAACGGATCAGCTGCCTACAGTACAATTATAAAATCACGTTGTCAACACAACAAAAATAAATTGCAGTAAAAGTTTATTTACAATCAGTCAGTAATATGCAACTTTTCTGGCCCCTGAAAGGTTAGAAAGTCAGCGATTCCAAGGATACATTTTCCAACGAGTCAGAAAAGCTTGAAAGCGCTCATCGGTTAGAAATGATCCACTTTCCGACCAGTGGCGGCGCCACTGTCGACTTGAACTATAAATGTCAAATGTAAGTATTTATTGCAATGGCGGCCGCACAAGTTTGGGTGGGAATTGCTGCAAATTTTTCTGAAAGAAGTGTCATAGAGAATGATAACGAAGACCAAAGGCTGAAAGAGCCGTTTACCATACGGCAGATTTCTGAGAGAATAATACAAGAAAAGAACGTTATCATCATCTAACGCCAATGAATAAGTCGGTTTACAATTTTATGCCACAGAAGGTAAGAAATTGAATTTTAATTTTTGTGCAGATTCCCGCAATTCTGGAGGAGTGAACTTTGTTTCATTATCAATTGTCAAATGCAAATTTGGTGTGATTTTTATTAACTAATTTAACACAATGTCAGTCGTGCAGCGCCTAGTAAGTATTAATATTTTACCAATTTTGGTAGGTTTTTTTTATTATTATATTGTTGCATGTATTATGAAATAATTGTGAATAAAATAATATATAAACGTCGCCAAAAGTACCACTCCTGTGTCTCGAGAACTATATATACTTATCGAGACCGGAATGAAATACTTTGCGCCTCGGTATGTAATATACTATTAATTTATTGTTTTGAAATTAAGAAAATATTTAAGATTTAACACCTGTTCTCTATGTTCAAATAAATCTTACCTTAGTTTTACGTTGTTTGAAAACAACTAAAGCGATGATAACAGTTATAGCCATACAACCCAGTTGGACGCTCAGGATTGCAGTTTTCAAATAAACGTCCCTTCTTGCAGTGCATATTCCATTCGGCTCGCAAACGTCACACTCAGTAGGACACGGTTGACATCTGAAAGTAATTAATTCAAAGTAATTAAAATTTCATTTAAATGCACTGACAAAAGCACGCTTTATATTAGAGAATCCGTGATAATAGGCGGCCAGAAAAGATGTTGGTCAAAAATCTGTGTTGTCTCTCTTTACTTTGTTTTCGCTTAGTCAGCTTTACAGACCGCACTTTGCGCGGAGATCTTGTTCATGTTCTTTTTGTTTTACAGCTTTTACGTGATGCCGTGTGAAGATTTTTTGGGGTGAAGTGTTTTTGATGGAGTTTATTTCCTTTGCATAGTATATGTAATCACGTAGGGAAAGGATAAGACAGTAGTTTCTGAAGGCGTTTGCCAAATCGTAAATCATGAATGTTTGCTTAAATATTTATTCATGTCAGGCTGAAAGTCGCAAATTTAAATTATGGCTTTTTACGTGTGACACTTCAAAGAAATATTTATTTGGTTTTTCCTAAAACAACGCTGAAATAACTCGACATTAAACTTCTTAATTCCGGCACCCTTCCAAGTAAATTCGCTGACAACTTCCCGCATGTCTACACAATTACTTGATGAGATTACACGATTCAAGAGAATAATGAGAAAATTTAATCAATAACACAGCGTGTAATATTTGTAAGTTCCGAGAAAATTTCCATTAAGTGCTGGCAGGTTTAAGTTTTATTTCAAGAAATTTGAGAAAAAAAAGCCGCAGTTTGAGTCTGTTGGGTCTCCGTGTCTCAAAAACCGCAATATACAAAGAATTATTTATTGGCATGTTGAAAAATGACTAGAAAAAATATATAAAATTGTAACTATATATGTATATAATACCATTGTTTTAACCGACGAAGAGCACACCATTTTTACGATTATTAATAATTTTTCTAACACAAATTTAATCGCACATTGAATAAGCAGTCATTACTGCTGAATAATAAAAGGATCCAATACCGAACAGGTAGATGGGGAGGTTTTAAGGTTAACAAAATAAGTTTTATAGCGTGGAGGTTCCAACCCCTGAAGGAATGGGAAAAGCCATTCTGTGTTGTATGTGCATATATAAAATTGCACAACCATCAAAAGCCAGTTTTAAAGTATTCATGCTTCATACCCGCAAGTAGGTAAGGGAGCTCAGTGTTATGAAACTTTATACATCTCGAATGGAAACGATAATAGGGACCATTTAACGAATAACTAATTTCATATTTTTTCGATTTTAGTAGTTTATAGAATATGAAATAATAGGTCCGTCATTTCTCTCTAGATATGTATTTCTATTTATCTTTTTCTGTGTGTATCTGTTTGTCGTTTGTATAATTTTGTAAGGAAAGTAATCCCTGCAACTACTAAGTAGATTAAGGTGACATTATAGGCGTCCTTTGCGATAACTAGGTAGATAATAAAATGTTATAAAATTTATTGGTTCGTCTCCACCAAAAATTTTATACCTAACGTTATGTAAAATTTTGCTAAGTAAATCTACGTCTTTTGTAGCGTAGCAAAATCGAAGAAAAATATTTAAAATCAAATTCGAGTGGGCTTATTAATCTGTGTCACTTAAAATGTATCCACTTACATCTAAAGATGTGTGTCTTGGATATATAATATGTTCAAGATATGTTATTGCTGATTAAAGCCGGGTATAGAGACCGAATCGTGGCTGATTTAGATGTTTTGTTTACACTGTTGCCATGGAAGCCACACGTCGTAGCCGCCTGAGACAACTGGACTGCGGTCCCGTTTCGACCGTGCTCGGCAGGATTGAGTTACTATCGCGGGTTTTAATTTTCATTCTGTGCGAGCACGTATGATAAATATTCTTGGATAATCTTCTCAGTAATACAGACATTCGGAAACAACTACACACCGCCTATATTAATAATATTCGGGCACATAACGCAAGGGTCGACAAAAATCGCCACATATTACTCGGATTGATAATGAGCATAAAATTTTGTGGAGTGTTTCAACTTGCTTTACGTGAACATGACGAAAGTAGGGAATCACAAAATCCAGGTATATTTCGAGGTCTAATTGATTTTACGGCTGAATTGGACTCTGATTTATCAAATCATGTGAAAGAAGCAACGGTTTTTAAAGGAACGCCTAAAACTGTCTAAAATGAACTTTTAGACACCATGAACGTAAAATTTTAACCGAAAGCAAAAAGGAATGTGGAGAAATCCTTTTTTACTTTTATTGAATGTATTTTTGTATTTATTTCCGTCACACAATTTCCTCTATTAATTGGTAATAACAACCTGTTTTATATCTTCATATTTAACTCATCAATCAAATATTTAACTCATCAATCAAACTGTGTCCCCCTCATTTGAAAAGGTCACGAGCCGCCACTGCTAACCACATTGGCATTATCTAGCTAGATAATAAAACCTAAGGTTGGGGATATGCGTTGACAATTTTTGTAATTTTACATCTTGGTGATCATTGATTGATTGATTAAAGAATAACAAACGTTATAATGTACAGTGATAGAAGAACTTTCCTTTCGTATAGGATTCTTCTTTTAACTGGAAGTAAAGATTCCGTCCAGTTGTGACTTCACATTTGTTTCTGACTTACTTTTGAATATTAAATTCCTGACAGTTGTAATGCTAAAGAAATCTAGTCGTTCTGGTCAAATATAGCATGGAGTAGTTATTATATTCTAGGCCCCACAAATTTTAATTTACAACTACGTAACTATATTATTCATAAGAAGCTGGATTCTAAAACTGTTTAAATAATACTCCTATCTTTCAAGAGTTTCGTGAATTAAAATTATGTTTCTGTACATCAACCATTACATTCACCACGACAGAGTTCCTTAATGATATTAAACATAAAATAGAACATAGTGATCCAGGATCCTGAACTTTCGCTAAATTTATTAGTGTAACATATTATTAATAACGTGTGGCAACCACAGCAGGTTATTTCCGCTTTCAAAAATATCCCGCCGTTATGGTTGTTACATTAAATATATGTATATCACAGTCTGGTAGGACAGTGTAGGAAGTTATTCACTAAAATAATATAGTTTGAATATTTAATACATACAAGTCTGTGGTTCTATTTAAATCGGTTATTTTTGGTCAAAAAAATTATTATAATTCAAAGCACGGGCACGGTTGAAAAACAGTGAAAAATGGTTTCCAGTCGATTCGAATTTACTGGATATTTTATGTATTGCAGTAAATTTTCTGTTACTATTTTAGGAAAATAATTGAAATATTGGTCGAAGATTTTTTTACAGAAGTTGCCTCGCCCGTAAAGTATAGTCGAACAAATGCAGCTTCGAAAAATTATCTGATTTAATTTTGAGGCAGACTTCAGACGACAGACAGATAGACAGAAACGATAGAACTGTGTTTTCATATTCTACGGGTCATGAAACATCGAAGGACGCGGTTACCATACTTCCTTAGCCTACGCTGGAGAAGTAAAAAGAGGTACTTTGGTTTAAAAAACTAAATTCCGTTTATTTCCGATGAGACAGAACGATTTTATATTACTAACTTACCTTTATCTAATTCTATCTTGGATATATGATTATCAGCTATATTTTTCAGGCAATTTAATTCATCATTAAAATGGAACACCACTGAATAAGGACAATAAAACAAAATCTACAAAGTTATTTCATTAATTTTTTTTTTCAATTTTATTTTGTTGCCTTCAATTTTGGATGCCCATGTAGGAAGAATATATTATCTTTACTAATTTCTAAAAATGCTTTTTCTGCACAAAGTTTTTGTCTAAGAGACATTGGGACCAATTTCAAGTTGACTTAATGATGTCGCAAAAATGTAGTGGATTGTATTAAGAGTTTTGCGACGCCATTTTGCGATCTCGCGAAATCAACTTGAAATTGGCCTCATTGACTGTTACCTTGACTTAGGAAACCCAGCTTCATAAGCTTCATCGACAATTATTTTAATGTATAATTTATGTGAATTTCCCATGTAATGGTGGCGTCAATATGAAATTCAAAAAAATTCAAATATACATTCTTATATACCAGGGGCGGCTGGTGCCGGGGGGCACAAGGGCACGTGTCTCCCCAAAATTACAACATCTACAAACACCCTGGACATGGTAAAATAGTAATTTTCATTATTTAAAATATCATCTGGAAATTTATGTCACAATTATCAAAACTAATTTTTTTATCTCGCTGCACTTGTATAAAATGTATCAAAACTTACATCCACTTACATCTAAACATGTGTGTCTTGGATATATGATATGTTATTGCTGATAAAAGCCGGACACAGAGACCGAATCATGGCTGATTTAAACGTTTTGTTTACACCGTTGCTATGGAAACCACACGTCCTAGCCAAATCAATGGGACTGCGGTCCCCTTCTGATAGTGCTCGGCAGGAGTAACTCAATCGCGTGTTTTAATTTTCATGCTGCGCGAGATAGACGCAAAACAGGTATGATAAATATTCTAGGATAACCTTCTCGGTAATACGGACATTCGGAAACAACTAAACACCGCCTATATTAATAATATTCGGGCACATAACGCAAGGCTCGACAAAAATTCCCATATATTACGGCGATTGATAATGTGCATAAAATTTTGTGGAGTGTTTGAACTTGCTTTACGTGGACATGACGAAAGTAGGAAACCACAAAATCCAGGTATATTTCGAGGTCTGATTGATTTTATGGCTGAATTGGACTCTGCTTTATCAGATCATTTGAAAGAAGCAACGGTTTTTAAAGGAACGTCTAAAACTGTCCAAAATGAACTTTTAGATGCCATCAACGTAAAATTTTGACCGAAGACAAAAAGGTACAGTTGCGGCCTTCCAAAAGTACACGATAATTTTCTCTTTTGTAAATGTTCAAATCATGGGCGCTCGAATAACAAAATTTGTCAAATTTGATATATTGTTTATTCAAAAATGCTACGCCACTGGTAATAGCCAGACTTACATTAATTTAAAAATTCAAAAAATGCCATGAGAACGAAAAAACGCGCACTTTTGGGGGTCGCAACTGTATG